GGAATGAAACATAAAATTCAAGATGTAATTTACGAAATAAAAGACTAATACTTTCTATGTTAGTATTTACAGCTTGCCAGTATAGTTGGAAGAGTTATTTTCCAGTGTGCTTAGCATTACAACTGGATCTTTCAATATACTATATATGTATCAAGACCATAAATTCAGAAGCTATGTAATCAGAATAGAGCAGCCCGTTCTCGTGATTATATAATACAATTAAACTGACACGTTTGTATTAGAAAATCAGCTCCTAAAGTTACATTTAAATTCAAAGGTGAGTTGCCTGCAGCTACAGCGAAAAGAAAATCTCCAAAAACTAACATACACCTGATAAAGAATAAAAACTATAAGGAAAATTAAAAAAAATATTTTAAATAGTAGTGGGTTTGATGCTCACAATTAACACATATATTGTATAAAAAGTGTTTAGGATTTGAGACTGCTCTACCTAATCAAAAGATGGCCACAATAAAGTACAATTTTTTAAGACATGCTAAGTTTATAGGTATTGAATTCTTTCCAATCTAAAGTATCTATTGTGTCTTCCAAAACTGTTAAATGTTTTGGAGGGGTATTGTGTTGTTTCCTAAACTGAAAGATAGGATTACTCCAAAACCAAAGCACAGTATGTTCCCAAAAGGGTAAATAATTCAATATTCCACCTCAATAACTCATTATTACCCTGTTATTTTGAGTATGACAGAAATTTCATGGCCTGGAAGCTTTAACGCTAAGCAGGCAAAAATAAACAAAAAGTTGCTGAATACAAAATAATACAGTACATACAACAACGTAAAACCCTTAAGGAAATCTACCAGAAAAGTCCTCAGAAAACCAACCACAGTGTGCATGCCAGTAAGCATCCTTGTATCCAAACCAGGTTCATATGGGGCAAAGAATACATATTTTGCTATTGGCTGTATGCCATAGAAGCGTGAGCTACAGTAAGACAAATGCAAAATAATAACATCAATCAAACAAATATTGGAACTAAGACTACAAACAAAAGTTCATAGCAGGAATAAAAATCACTGTCCCTGATTGCTTAATGCCATTGTCCTGGCAGAGATCACAATGCCCTGAAGTGGAATGCAAACTATTCAGTTACTTCACTGCAAAGTCTGGCAGTTTGTCTTGATCTGCTGATGGCTTTATGATAAACCATCAATCTTGACACCGACGTGGTTGAGATGTACATAGCTGGTTTGCTTTCCTTGTTCTTCTGCTGGGCCAGCAACATGCAACACAGTCAGAATACAACTCTGCAGTGATTCCAAACACCCCAGAACACACCAAGCACTGGGGCTGAAGCTCTGAAACATAGATCCTAGGCACTCAGATGCCTCTCCCTCTTTAGGTACCTGAATCCATTTGATTTCAGTGGAAATTCATAAACATCCACGACAACCTGGTCTAAGCCCAGTTCCTCAACCAGAATCAAGGTTAATTGAGATTACAACAAATGACAGTCCAATTTGCTACCGCATTCTTATTACATTAGAAATTGCTCAGTGTAATTGCAGAATGTTACCTAATTAGTACTGAGTACTCTGGGCAACAAGGATCTAAAGCTGAAGTTCAACCATGCTTGTGTCATATTAAAGTGACTCAAGCCACCAGGAGAGCTACTGAGGCCTTTCCTTTTGCTGGTACAACATCCACATGAAGAGCCAAATCAGGGAGTTGATTTAGCTGAAAACCAATCTGATGAAAATTGATCAACTTTAGTTAGATCATCTTGTCAATCTACCTCATTACCTAGTTATCTAAAGAACAGTACTGGCAGAAAAGGGGAGACTGAAAGCGAAGTCATCCCTTAAAAATAATAATTAAAAATACATAGAGAGAGAAACTTGATAGGATTAACAAATTTACAATTAGCACTTTAGAACACAAAATAAAACTATGATAGGTAACAACAGAAAACCAATTAAAATGAAGCCACATCCCTATGAAAGTGAGCTCTCAAGCAGGATTAATGTGTCAATGTACTCACATTGTACTAAGAACATTAGGAGACATACATTTATGTCACACTCAGGAGAAGACTGTGAACAGTATTTACAAAATCGATGACAACACATAATGGCTAGATACAGACAGACAAGACATTGTGGAAATACAAAATAAACATTAGATGGATACCCATACATACTAGGATGAGCAAACAACTTCCCAATGTCAAGAAGTAAAAGAGCACGCCAGAAACTCCATAGTGTTACTGGCAAGTGAGAGGCAATATAAGAAGTGAAAAAAGAAAAATGAACTGATGAGAGTTGGGAAATTAATACCTCCTCATATACACAGTTTAGCAAGAATCAGTCACAGAAGGAAAAAAATTAAACACACTCCCCACCCCCACCCAAAAAAAAAAAAAACCACCCACAAAAAAACACCACCAGGCACCAAAACCCTCAGACAGCAAAAGGCTCTACTATTGTCTCCAACTAGAATCACAGAATCACAGAACGGTTTGGGCTGGAAGGGACCTTACAGACTATCTGGTTCCAACCCCCCTGCCATGGGCAGGGACACCTTCCACTAGACCAGGTTGCTCAAAGCCTCATCCAGCCTGGCCTTGAACACTTCCAGGGATGGGGCATCCACAGCTTCTCTGGGCAACCTGTTCCAGTGCTTCAACTAGGATTAACTAGGATGCCAATGCACTTGTTTTCAGACCACAATAGTAAAAGAGACTTCTGAAGCAGTAATCTATCTACTAAACATAAAACTGCACATAGGCAGACCAGAATATCCAAGTTCAAGGGTGGAGAGGCAAAGCTGAGGTGGGCAGGTTTTGGAGGAAAAGAAGGATGGGAAAAGAGAAGAAAGTGGTTGGGCTTTTTTGTTCAGAATGAGTCATTAAAATGTGAGGACTCTTTTTGGACTTCCACAGAAAACAATTACTAAACATTAGCTTTGCTCTATCACACAGCTTTGAGGATTCACTCAGTATTAGTCAGCTCCATTGTACTGTACAAGCAACACTAAAGATATCCTCCTCAGTAAATTCAAAATCTCCAACTTGCAGATTAGAGTTACATAAATAAGTGACAATATAAAAGATGATGTGACACAACATTAAGTATTTTGATACTATTTGTAGGTATTTAAGGTAAGATATTTGCATTTTACTATTGTTCTTCCATCTTTTTTTTAATGTATATGGTGATAGCATCATCCTTTCCAAATGGAGCACAACACAGACATCATTAACAATTCAGTTCAATCCTACCAAAGAATTTTTACAGAGGGATTTTCAGAAAAGTCAGCGTCTTTTTGGATAACATGAAGGAGAGTCCCACATAAAGGACAACCTGAAGGACAGCAAACAATGCATCCATGTGAGAAAATGAGGCATAAAAAGACCAGACTGACATTACTGTCAAACAGGAACAGGCAGGGGCATTGTATTATAATGGATTAAAAAATGTCAGACAAGGCAAAAGTACATACCTTTGTACATTATATAAAGGATATATCTGTGTTACAGGCAGCTTTTCAACTCTGTTTGCTTATACTCTAGCCAGTACAGGGAAGGCAATATACTATTGAACAGCAAAAGCTTCCACTGGATTATTGTATTAACATACCCGGACAATCACAGCAAGTGATTGCCTTACAGAAAGCTTATCAAGCAGAGATGAAGCTACCTTTCAGCAATGAGGACAATGCAGAGGCAAAAATGAAAACTTCATTACAAGGAAAAGATTATTATGTTCCCAGAACAGCTCCTCAAGTAGAAAGCAAGCAGATGAAGATGTCAGAAGTTCAAGGCCAGGCTGAAAAGCAATTAGTAAGATGAAAGATACAAACTGGAACCTTTTACCCTTTAACGAGGCAATGATCCAGTAAAGACACATTGCTGGAAACATGATCTTTAATTGGGAAAAGAGCAAAGAAATTTGCTGCCACACAGAGAAAGGAAAAAAAAAGTCAACTATGCCAATTGCTGTAAAACCCAGAATTGATATGCATCCTTTGAATTTATATGCATCACATGCAAACTGTTTCCTCTGATTTTCCCTAAAGTAAACAGATTGCTTTCATTACAGGAACTATTAACAATGCAAGTTTTAAAATCCACTATTTAATAAAGTTCAGCATTAAAAAAATCAACAAACAAATAAACAAAAAAAAACCCACAACTCAGTATCAGAAGTACTATCACTGGACAAAAATGCTTACCTAAAAATAATGCCTCACACCCCAAAAAGAGAAAATTAAGGCACTGAGAATATCTACACTAAACACTGAGGACTAGGAGAGCACTTAAAATAGCAGAATAAGCAAACACAGCGAGCGCTGCAGCCGGTTCTCCAATTACTAGCTATTGTTTAAAAATGCATATTCAAATCAAAATCCCTCAGAACATTTGTCAAAGATGACTTACACAGTAGTTGAAAGATCTGTACTTTAAACTATCAAAATTTCAGTTATTCAAGTAGCTGCAAATAAATACTTTAAGAAACAAGAAGGAGATAAAATGAAAAACCAGAACACAGGGAAGTATTAATACAGTATGTTCCACAGTATTTTCTAAGGACTATAAAACTGATCTCTCAAGTTCTCTCTTCTGAAAGCCCAAACATATGCAGCATGCTGGAACAGCTCTGTTATCAGTCTCTGGTAACTGCTCATGCCTTAGAGTGAACACGAAGTCATTGAAAGATTGGTGTTATTAATGTTCACACTCAGGGAGTCTTGCAAATTCAACTGCAGGGGAAAAGAAGATGAAGTACAACTCTGCTGGTGAGGGCCATATTAGAAACTCGCAGAAGTGTTTACACATGTATGCAGGCATCGTACTCTATGCTGTGTTTTTTTAAAAAAAATTACAGTACCTATTTTTAGCTTGTGTATGTTTAACGTAGCAGAAAGTAAATAAACTACTACTGAAATACAGAAAATATAAGGAGTGAAGAGTAAAGCACTAAAAAAAGCTGTATGTAAGCATGATGGTCAGCAATGTTTCACAGGAGTATTTTAGGAAATACCTGAGCAGATAAACAGCCCTTTCAGTATCACTGAGTTCTTCATCAACTGTCAATCTTTCTATTTCTTCTGGTGTCTGTCAAGCATGAAATAGAGATTATGAGTTTACAATGCCTTACTGTTTCATCATTTTAATCTTCTTATAACAACCCCTTCCTCCCCACACATCCAGGGACAGTTCCACCAGTAATTTGAATTTAATCCTTGAAATCTGTAGCCAACGTTTCAAATTCAATCAAATAAATCTTTCACCAGGAAATGATGGAATGCAATGGAAGTGCAGTTCCATGTCAGACACGATCACTATCCATCACTCAGAAGTATAAACAAGTCACATATAAATTAAAGACCAAAGTTTGTCTATTTTTTTCCAGCTTAATATTCTTATACTGAAAATATTAAGTCCCTGCGATTATTCCAGACTGTTTACTCCAAAATGACTGAAAACAAATCCTAGTATCGTGGTGCTGTAAAGAATAAACTGCCTCTTCAGTTAGCTGTGCATAAATAAAACGGAGTTTCAAATGGATTTTAAAGCATTGTTCTATTTCGAAGTATATACCTTCAGGCTCCTGCGTACCGGCCTCTCCATAATAGTTAGTTCCTGCAGGTCTTCTATGTATCCAAACAAATTGCTCTGACTAAAATCCATTTTGGAGAAGATGATTATTGGACGCATGTAACAACTCAAGCCTTTGGCAAGCGATGCTCTCTGCGAGTCTCACATCGCACTGAGGGAGGCAGGACCGGCACGGCACGGCACGGCACGGC